TTGTTTGAAGAACTGATCATTAAATACATTAATTTAAGAAACGAGCTTTTTACATTCACTGGTGATTCAAAGCAGTTAAATCAATGTAGAAAGAAATGATAATTGATGACCTCGGAGGTCAGGAGCTGAGTTGTGATTGGTCCTCTGTAGAGCGGCTATAAGAAAGCCATCAGCCTGCTGGAGAAGCACAAACGCCGCTTTGCTGAGGAGAGGAAAATGCGTCGTCCGCAGGGAGCGGTCAAGATCAGCATAGAGGGCAACAAAATGCCCCTGTAGTTCCTGTGGTTGACCAGTGGGGGGCAGTAAGTCCTTTTGCATGGTGTGCAGTGATGGTCCAGCTGTGTGTGGCGTCCACACAGTGACCTTCTGAGGTTTCTGACCTGTGACCACACAGACCTGTGACCTCACTAACATGGCTCACGTGCGCAGATGTGCACACGTGATGAACTTGGTGGAGGCTAATCGTCCATGACGTGATGCATGACGCCCTTCACCTCCACCTGTGGTGCGGAGCTTCATCTGTGGGTGGGGTTTAAATGTCGAGCTAACCAGAGGAGCTAACCAGAGGAGCTAACAGGGCGTCTGTCGGAGGTGACGACATCGGAGCTGAAACGATTATTCGATGAATTATTGAGTCGACACGAAGTTAAAGCTGAAACGATCATTTGATGATGTTGAAGTTCCAACTTCTGAGCTGTGAACGTTTCTGGACAGAACAGGAAGTGAATTTATTTTGCTCTCAGTCAAAGTTCACGTGTGAGAAGATGAAACCAACAAAACTGAAATGTAATAATTCAAACTGAGAACGAAGAATCTGTCAATCAATCAGTCGACTGATCAAACCTTTCAGTTCTAATCAAAACAACTGACTCATCACTTCCTGCACATATTTCACAATAAAAGTCCAACAGCATCTTCAGAGGGTGCTTTACCTTCATTCATTCGCTCTCATTGTGAAACAGGAAATGAGATTCACGATGTCGATCGGTGGAAGAACTAAAAACATTTAAAGGTTCAGTGTGTAAGATTTATCTGAAGGGATCTGGAAACAATCTAAAATAATCGTGGTGATGATTTCATGAGTGGCCAGACTGGACAAACTAAACACTGAAGGTTTCCACAGGTTCTCCTTCAGGTTTGGAAGAGGAGGGTGAGGTGAGGGGTGGTCAACTGCAACATGAAACCTCACCACTAGATGTCACTAAATTCTACACACTGAACCTTTAACGAAAGTCATATTACAGCAGTGTCACTGTAAATCAAAAGTGTGTAAAGATTGAAAGTTTTGAACTCATCAAATGCTTTGTGTTTCCAGCGGACATGTTTTTAACTGTATGTTTCTGTCTCCGTTCTGTCCTCAGGGTCCCATGAAGAAGGGAATGTCCCGTGTGGATAAACAAATGCGTAGATTTGCTGACATCCGCCGCCTGACGAAGACGGGTCACGCTGTTAAAATCAGTGTAGAAGGAAACCGGATGCCGCTCTGATTTTAACCTCCGTAGGATTTATTCACTTTTTCTTTTTAATATCTTGTTCCTGCCCCCCCC